TCTCTCTCTCTCTCTCTCTCTCTCTCTCTCTCTCTCTCTCTCTCTCTAAATGTCAGGCAAACAGGTGCGAACAATCAGAGATCTTTGGTCATATGTGCGACCAAAACTCTGGAGCAATGCACATGTTCCTCTACAACAAATGAATTCTTTACAGAATACATTACATTAAATGACATTACTGTGTCTTACCTGATCCCACGGGCAGATGATCCCACCAGAAAACATAAAAAGGTAACCCATGGCAACCAAGCAGGCCCAGATGACCAGGGAGAAAACGCGTAGAAGCTTCTTGAAGATGGACTCAATGCAGACAAGTACAAAAACAGCCAGGAAGATAGCCAGCGCCGTGGGCACAGTGATTACAAAGGCCACGTGGTCCTCAATGTTCTGAAAAAGGACAAAATTAAAGAGAATGAGAAAGAGACAGTGAGACATGTAGACAGTCAATTTGAGAGCGAGGGGAACAGAGATGTAGGAGGAATAATTTATTAGTGGGAAAAATACGGTTGCCTGAGAGAGAAATAAGAAAAGAAAAGGAAATTTAGAAGGCAGACTTCTTGACAGACTTTATAACGGTGTTATAAAAAGGCACTCTTCTAGTCTTTCCTCTTTAGTGTCCTAAAAATAAAAACAACCAAGGCAGACATACGAATTACCCAGAGAAGCAGTAAATTCAGAATAAAACAGATTCTCTTCAGATTTTTTCGCTTTTTTAAGCACAACAAGGTGTCACTACTAGAACAGCCCTCTTTAATAGATGTAATCTGAGAGAGGAGTTGGTAACAAAATGAGAAAAGTGCCCCTTTGCTCAGTATATAACCCTTAAGTGTCTTTGACTTTCTGTTTGAGCCACATAACATTTTGACAAGACTCAATCGAGTCTCGACTGAAAATCGATAATGGAATCGGTTTCCATAAAATCTTATCAATTCCCAATAATCAACCTTTTTACTGAGAGGAAGGGAGGAAAAATACGCTAAAAGCCCCCAGTGTTAACCAGTAGTAAAGTTGAAGCCACATCCATAATGGATTTGCAGCTGCCTTTCTGAAACACACTTAGATCTGAAAGTTCTAATAAAAATTTCAGGAGTTTCTTCAAGGTGGATGTAGGAGGATAGCACAGTGAAATGAGTCGTTTGTAATGCCTGCCTTTGCCAGGTTTCATCCCATCATTGCTTTTCCAGTAGTGTGATGGGGGATGGAAATGGGTCAGGATATGGAATGTAGGCAAATGTGTCACATCTTCCCTGGCACATTTGGCTGTTTCGGTAAGGATACACTGATAGCTACCAATCAAATTTCAATTCAAACCCAAATAGCTGAGTAAAAATGTCAGGAAATCTGTTATATTAAAATGGAATAATATGTTGTTTTTTATACATAGCAGTCACTGATCACTAAAACAAATTCTCACTCATTCCATGATTGTTTTCAGAGGCGACCCAACCATCAACATGTTCTTATGTCAGTCTGTCTCACACTGCTCCTTGCAGTTGTCCTCTTCCTCTCCATCTCTATCTTTCTTTAGCCTCCCGCCCCCTCCTTCCCTCTGTCCCTTTCTCATGCTCACAGTCAATGCACTGGGACAGGAGAGGATGTGTGTGGCTGCAGAAAGCCACGGAGAGTTTGTCTCGCCCAGAGCCGTGCTCCAAAACAGCACAGGATTTAGGTCAGCCAGCCAGCAGAATGGAGGGATGACGGGATACAAATAAAAGAGAGGCAGAAATATCAGGAGGTGAGAGATGACACAGACACGAATATGTAGAGAAATAGGGGACGACAGAGGGAAAAAAAACAAGGGAGTAGGAAAAGCCATGTATAACCAGCACAGGGACAGCGCAAAAAGAAAAGAGGACGTAGGACGGACAGACTGAGCAGTGGCCTGACAGGAAAAGGCATTTACTGAGATGCGTGTTTGTTGTGAGCCAAAAAAAAACATTGCAGAATATTTACTTAATGTTAGATTTTAGGCTTTTTTTGCTATAAAACTGGGGATTTCAAAGGCCTTATTTACCGTTCTGGAGCACTCGTGTTTCTAACTCTACATTAATATTTAAACCTTTAGCTGCTTCTGCTTTTGCACTTAACCACAGCTTTAACACAAATACTGCCAGCCAGAATAATAAATACAAAGTAAAAGGATCAATTAGGTAATTCATTGGCACAAACACCAGTTGTGCCTAAGGTAACAAGTCTAAATACTGATTATGATTATGATACCACTTAAATACCTCCCAATGTGAAGGACCATAATAAAATCAGTATAATAGCGATAACAGCAGTGTGTAGGAGGTTATTAAAACGCAATCAACTATCAGAAATGTTGCAAGATTAAAAATTAATTTAAAAAAACTGTTGTCACTTCGAATCGTTTAGATAAGGGATTCCATTTGTTGACGAATTAGGAGCAAATTTTGTCTGATTGTGTTGATTGCATGGATATGCAATGGCTGGCTCTCCAACCACTGATGTCACTGACCTCATCATCTGCTGGTTATACGTTACAGTGAATAGAAACAACTTAAAACTTTTAATTCTGTTTTCATTCAGTTTCAGTTCTGGTGATTTTCGTGATGTGTGGGGTTATGTGTCTGTGTGTGTGTGTGTGTGTGTGTGTCAGTGCTCTGTCGCTTTCAGTGCGTTTTAGACTAATCCCTTCTTAATAGCAGACTAAAATAATGAGAGGCAAAAATGTTACGTTAGTATATCTACTAAAATCAATCATTAGATAGATTGTGTAAATATAGCATTATGTTGTATAATATTTTTTAGACAATTTTAGTTCACAATGTTTTTAGTGAGTACCTTGCCTTCACTGCATTGGATTTCTCAGGTCTTTAGTGCAAAGATGACCTGTCAAAATAGAGATAGAGGGAAACAGATCTTTCTGTAGTTCAGTCAACCGTGAGCTCAGACAATACCTAAGCCCCTTATTCCCCCTCACTTTTATCTCACCCTTCTCTTCACATTAGTGCTGCGATAAGGACCGCATGCTGCGAGTGTGCGTGCATATACTGTAGGTGTTGCACAAGAACGATTGTATGTGTGTACGAGTCTACGAGAGAGAGGAGCTCATGTATTGTGTTTGACAAGCCAGCAGATATTGTCTGAGTGTCAGTGTGTGTGTGTGTGTGTGTGTACCCCTGGGTGTGCGCATGATTGGCAAGCTAATTTGTTTGACCCTATCTCTATGCATGCTTATAGAAAATGTGAGAGTCTACAATATGTGTGTGTACACACCACATGTGCCAAGATGTGCCTGTCCACGATGTTTACAGAGCTTACACTAAATAGGAAATTCCCTGCCATCTGCATGTTTGTATGGTCCAGGTTGTAGGTTTATTTGTACTTTCTACTTTGCTAAATCAGGCTGTGTGTGTTATGTAGTAAAAGAGCAGCTTACCAGTCCTGAAGCAAAGAACACAGTCAGCAGAGCCAGGCAGGCTCCCATCACTATGAGCAGCAGAAACACAATCAGAGGATGCTGCTGGCTCATACAGTAGTAGGACTCATACAGCCAATCCGGGGACCTGTTCCTCTTCTTCTGACCTCTTCCTCCTCCTTTATCCCCTTCACCAGACTCCCCTGCCCGGTCCAGGAGATACCGCTTTCTCCTTATTGCCTCTTGCCACATGGATCTTGGAGCCGAGAAGGAGGAAGAGGAGGGAGGGAAACTAGAGGAGGCAGAAGAGGTGCTTACTGCTGAGGTATTAGTAGTTTCCACCACAGATGAGGAGCAGTTGCTCTGTTCAGCTCTCTTGCTGTTGTTGCTCCTGTTGGGGACCCTGGTGTGAGAGTTCCTGATCTCGACCTTATCCTTCGGTTCCTCCTCCACCTCCTGTCTTAAGTCTCTCAGGCGGAGACAACTGAAAGCTGAGGCTGAGTCAGAGTCGGAGGCAGTGTGCGCTGGCCGGAGAGGTGGCAGGAACGCACCGAGGGTAGAGCGGAGCATCCTCCTCTTTCTCCTCCTGCCAACATGTTGGAGCGGGAAATGTAGGGGAGCTCAGAGACTGAGTGCTCTTTAGTGTGAGGGAGAGAAGTGGGAGGGAAGTGAAGGGAAAGGGGAGGGGGAGAGGGCTAAGGGGGAGGGGAGGAAGAAAAAGAAGGTGCAGCAGCAGGGAGAAGTCAGCAAGTGAGAGAGAGAGAGAGAGAAGAAAAGAAAAAAAAAAGGGGATATTAAACCACTGAAATTGATTCAGTATGCAATATGTATGTCATAATTTCAAGAGAGAAATTGGGAGACATGTTTATAAAACACGAATTGAGCTCAATCCCAGAGGTGATGAGGATGTTCAGAACTGAGATAACCCACACCATCATCCTCTTTCCTCTCTCCATACAGTCAGAAAGACATTTGTCTTAAAGCCAATTTTGTTGAAGCTCTGACTAGTTGATAGGAGGAATCTCAAGGCACCTCGCTGTTCCATTCTGATTCAGAGGGCTACGATGCGATTATAAATAGATTCTTCTTGATGCATCAAAAAATTTCGAAACATGATTTTTTTTTCTCACTGTGACTGTTATTTAAAAAACACAGCATATTTGTAATAATTCATAATTAAAAAAACATGAATTTTCTTGCATTACCTTTTATTATTAATATTCTAATTATAGTTATTAATTAAATATTATTAACAAATATAATAGATGTGTCAACTGGAGAGTTACATTTCCAAGCACTTCAAAGTAAACCAACAAGAAAATAAATAAAGTTGGGCCTGTAGCAGCACCCTGGTAGTAAAAACACAGAATTCAGCATGTTCTGAATCATTCAGCATAACAAGCTGCCCTCATTCACAAATAAATAATATAGAATTCTCTTCAAACAAATCCTCCTGTTATGGGCAATGAGCATTCTGTGCCAGCTCAGATAAGAACGCTTTCTGAAACATGTGGTTAAACTATACAGTTATAAAGTGCACGGTTATGATCACACAAGATTCTGTGGCACCGGACGTCCAGTCGCACCATCCGACCCACTTTCCTCAGTGATTCCATACTTTAGCCTTGGTTTGGTTGTACAGTGTCGCTGTGTTTGTGAAAAGGTTGAGATGAATGTTTTATCTTGGTTCCAAAGTGTGCAACACAGAGTGAATGCCTTGTTGTCAAGGTAGCTAGTCGATGAAGAACTTGTGGCAGATGCACAAAAATATAGAGGGGAAAAATAATAATTACCCACCAATAGAGGGCAGGTCTAAAAAAAGGCAAGTAAAAGAAAATAGTCAAAGTCAGATCAAATAGATTGATTGCTAGCTAAATTGAGTGTCATAACCGAGTGGTTTCTAACAGATGAATCTTAACTTAATCTGTCTTTGATTAAGCAACTCAGAGAGCAGGGCAAACAATTAAAAAATAAATGGACAAACACACATAAAGAATGTATACACACACATTGTAATGATGCACTAGCACAGACACAGGGGCCAGCCGAAACCTGACGAGAGTTGTGCTGGCCAAAGTACTGCTTTTATGAAGGTGAATAAATGATGACTCTCCAGATTCCTCTAACAACATGAACTAGCGAATTTGAGTGCCGAGTTATATTTGCCCTTACTGCACAAAGCAATAAATCACCATTTTGCATATCCATTTTCATAAAGAATATTCAACAGATTGTTAGGGTTGTCACTTGTGTGAATGAGTTGTATACCAGCTGCTATAACAAAACAGAACATCAAAAACCATCTCTATCTGCCAATATGGATCAGCAACTATTGGCAATTAGTATCAGCAGCAAAAAAAGCGTGATCAGAGGATTTCTAAAAGTTATATCTGCTCCCTTTTTTTGTTCAGATCCAATTCGTGATTCAAATCTGTAATACGATCCGAACCGTGAGCTTGATGGTCCGTTGCACCAGAAGACCTGTAAAAAGCTAGGAGCCTACACCAATCGCACATTCACTTTATTAATTGTTATCTCAGTGCAGTCTGCTGTAATTGTTTTGTTATCTTTCATATTCTCCATTGTCTCTGGTCTTATCTAAATCCTTTTCTCTGCTTCTACAAAGACCTTATTTCCCTACGGCGATCATTACAGCTTCATCTAATCTGATTTAATTAGTATGGGCATCTATTTTGGAGATTTTATTACCAATTTAGAACTGCATGCAAATGTCATAGCATGACACAGTGAATAGCTTTAAAAACATTAAATTGATTACTTCCAAGTGCAGTTGATGTTCGGAGACAATGGGAGTGTACCTACCCTTTCTTGCCTCACACTGTTCCTCTCTCTCCTAATCTTTATCACTCCCTGCACATCTTTATGCCATTTCTTTCATCTGCTTTCCGTCATCTTTCACATCGCTTTTTACCTCACACATTCTCCTTGCAATATTGCACCACCATCCTTCCTCTGCTCTTGCATTAAAATCCTCACCCTCTCTTAAAATCCAACCTTTAGCTTTGTCTCCTTCACTCCACTCCTACACTCAGGCCTTCAACATCTGCTTACACTTATTGAGCCTTAACTACAGTGTCCCTTTCCTCAGCCAATATTGTCCACCTCCTAATGATTAATGTTGCTGGCAAACATTCCTTAAGTCTAGTAATCCACCACAATACAGAAACAATTAGACAGTGTCTAAATGTTTTCCCTTTAATTATTTATTGATAACAACTAAGGTACAATTAAAGAGGAAGTGATTGATTATGATTGTGGCATGGAATATCTAACAACTGTTTCACTACACCGGATTAAGTATGTTTTTATCTCTGCTCTAATTCTTATAATTCCTACCCTAATATGTAATTTGTTTTCTTGTCTGGCATAATGCAGGCTGGTTTGACTGATCTAATGTCAATGAGCTTTTTGATAAACAATCAGCAATGTGGATGTAATGAGTAAGCGGGTACAGGCAAGTAATAGAACAGTTAGAAAAGACTGATTCAGAAAGTACTGTATTATATACTGTAATACAGCCTTTAAATCGAGGAAAAGACAACGCTTATGCAATATTACCAGACATTTTGAGCCTTAAGAACACTTTCTGTAAGTCTGCATTTCTGCAGACTTTGCCTGAGGGAACCATCCACAATTCATAGCATTGTGAAAGTAAAGGCAGGGTTACCAGGGGGAAGCCTGGAGGGATTCAAAAAAAGGTAAACAAAGAGGACGGCACATGGGTGTTTAGCCTGGCATATTAAATTCACTAAAAAACATTAACACAAAAGATTTAAGATTGAACATAAAAACATGAATGCTGAGGAATAGCATAGGCCAGGGGTATTCAATTAATATTCAACGAGGTCCAGTTACAGAGAATTTCCTCATGTAAAGGTCCGGAACATCACAATAATGTCTAACTTGCGCTATGATTTAGTTCCATAATTATTGAAGTAGCCATTTTTTTTGCACAGATTTGCATGAAAAACGTCTACCATCACCAGCAAATACATTTCGCAGCTAATAGCAAATTATTTCTGGTTGTTTTCATGTTGAAACAAGGGAAATTTGTTGCTTTAGTTTTACAAAGATATTTTGTCTTCTCAATACTTTTATCAATACTCAGTTCTTCGACATGACTAAATAATTGTTTTAGCAAAAGATATATACGATTTTAAAAACAAATACATTCAGAACAGAATTAGAAGTTATTTATAATTTAGATATAGCTAAATGGCAGGTTGAAACCAACTAAATGCCCCTCAATCCGCGCTTCACACGCATGCCGAACCGTGAAGGGAGATCCGTACGGATCACGGATCGACAGTGGTCGGTTGCACCACTACTTGGAAGATATAAAGGGCTTTTTCTAAGCTAAGATAAAGCTAAACGATTTTTGTTTTGGGTGATTATACACCGATTAAAACATAGTTCACAATTCATCTGCCAATAAACCCCCCCTAAATGTCACTGTCCCTTTAAATGAAAATCACAATACTGGAAAGAAAACTCAGAATTAATTAAATGCTTTCCTCAAAGTGTTTAGCCCAAAAAACAAGTGAAGCCGATCATGGATTGTTGCAGACTGTGTAATGTTTGGGTTTTTTGGGGGGGGAGGGGGCAGTAATTATTAAAGATGTGTCACATTGAATAGGCAGATGCCACAAATACACAGTATGAAATAGCAATCTTTTTCACAATAATGACCTCACATCTGTCCATCACTAGATATTTATATTACTTGTGGAGTAAGATATTGAAATAGAAATATGTGGTGCTGTTTTTTTCATTTTTGTGCCAAGGTTACAAGAGTCGGGGTCCAAAATAGTCTGCGAGGGAGGTAGAGAGGGCAGGGAGATGATTGCAAACACATTCACACATACAAGAGGTAATGAAGCAGCTGGCAGATATTGACCTATTCAGGGTTAAGAAGAGGTCAAGAAAAAAAAAAGAGACATTCTTTCTCCCCATTGAGAGAGTTGTGTGTTTTATGTACACCTGCCACGCATATGCATACACATGCAGACATGATTGCTCCTCCTGACTTATTGCCAAAATGCTTCAAGTTGTCAATCAATCAGCCAAGAATGATCTCTATCCCCCTGCTGTTTTCTAGATAATCAGCAAGCTAATGAGAGAATACAAAGATGCCAGGATCTGCCCATAAAGTCCCACTTGGTACCGTGTGCAGTGCTTGTTCGCCTCACTTCATCATCCCAAAATGTAAAAAGGAAGAGGCTAAGGTGTCCGTTGCATTGCAGACAAATTCTGCTTAGAGGCAGGAAAGGGAGCATGGTCACTGTATTTCTCTCTTTTTGCAGCCGTTTTCTACATTTGTTTGAATTCTCTTCAGTAGCAGAAGCTCAGAAGGATACTTCCCTACTGAGAAAAACATCCCAAATCAGCAGTTGTTACTGGAAGGGGTACCATCAAGATGATTGGGGAGTTTCCTACCTGAATGAACTGCCTCAAACATATGTAACTATTAACCACAGTAAGAACTGTTAGAGCTGGTTCTTCAGTCCTTGATTTCCTAACTTTTTTACCTGGGACACAGTTTCTGGCACTACTAGTTTTATGTTAACAATGGTTTATGCTGTTGTTGAATAAACAGCTTTAAAGCATGGATTTCCTTGGCCCCATTTTACAAATTGTGGAGCATGTTAGCCG